GTGACCCTGGACAAGTCACTTAACCCTATTTGCCTCAGTTTCCTCATTTACAGAGTGAGCTAGAGAAGGAAATGGCAAATCACTCCAGTATATTTGCCAAGAAAACTCTAAATGGGGTTATGAAGAGTCAGACAGGACTGAAAAATGATTGAACAATAACCAAACAATCCCCTAAAGATGTCCAGAATGTTGTTCAAAGTTGCTATGAAATGACTCATTAACAAGAACAAAAAATTTCTTTGTAACAAATATGCATAGTCAAGCAAAACGAATTTCCTCATTGCCTATGTACAAAAGACACATATCTCATTGTGTATCCTAAATCTCTCACATCTTTGTCCAGATCTGGATGGTATACTTCATCTGTGATTCTTCTGGAATTATGGATGGTCATTGTATCCATCATAGTGCATATACCTTTCAAAGTTGTTTTTATTTATGGTATAGTTATTACTGTATAAATTGTTCTTCTAGCCCTGTTCATTTCATTCTTCACCAGTTTATATGTCTTCACATGTGGTCATTTTTATAATGTTTGTGTTACATAAATTATTCTTCTTATTCTGCTTACTTCACCCCGTATTAGGTCATATAAGTCATACATATGTCTTTGAAATCATCTGTTTCCTCATTTCTTATGGCATGATAGCATTCCATCACATTCATATACCACATCTTACTCAGTCATTCTTCAGTTGATGAAAATTGCTTTAGGTTACAGTTTTTGCCTTTCTTTTGCTCCCATCTCTTAGCATAGTGTCTGGCACTTAAATGCTTGTTGATTTAACTTGACTTGTACATAATAGGTAGTTAATAAGCATCGATTTAATGGATTTGTAGCATCTCTTCTTGCCTGTCTTGTCAGCTTCTTAGAGTCACACAATCTCAGAATTGAAGGAGATAACTTCAAAGGATATCTAATCTACCCTATCCTGAAAAAAAATCCCATTTTACAACATACCCTCTCAACAATATAGGTTATTATGCTTTTGCTAAAGACCATTAGTGAAATGGAATCCACTTATTCCCAGGATATGGGAGTTGATTCTTTCTTTTCTCAAACTCAGCATGTCAAAAATAAAACTAATTATCTTACCTAAACCTCAGACTTCCTCCTTTCCAAATGTTGCTGTTTCTGTTGAGGGCACCCCCATTTCTCCCTGTAACCTCAGTTCACAATTTTGGAGTTATCCTTGAGTCTTTTCTCTTCCTCACTTCCATGTCATCAGTTGCCAAGTCTTAGTGATTTGTGCTGACAATCAAGATTTTTAGCATCTGTCCCTTTACCTTCACTTGTTCTGCCTCTGTTTCATATACAACCATCCTCATCCCAGATGTTACCTTTCCTAATTTACTCCTTACAAAGATACCTAACTAATCTTCCTAAGATGTTGATCTCATCATGTTATTCTCCTTCTCAAAAACCTTATATTGAGCTCCTCATTGCCTGTAGAATAAATTACATATTTTTCAGCCTGACTTGAAGACCCTCCATAATCTGAATCAGCTTTCCCTTTTAGCTTCATTTCATACCACTTCCAGATAATATACAAACACATACTACATTCCAAGCCAACTTATACTACATACCAAATTTTCTCTGAATCCATACATTTGCAAGATCTATCTACTGTGCCTAGCATGAAGTCTCTTCTCATGGCTAATCAGAATCTTTTTCTTCCCTCAATCCCCAGCTTAAATTTTTCTAGATGATTTTCTTAATTACATACACTTTATATATACTTTGTTTTCATGTTGTATCACTCATCACTCCTCCCCCAAAACAAATCTTTGTGATTTAGAGATTAGCATTTTAAAAACTCTTGTATCTACAGTGTCTAACACAGAGCTATGCATATGGAAGGTACTTCAGAAATGTTTGTTGTGGTTTCTTATGCATATTGTAGATCTCATGCCAAGTGAAAACAGTAGTGAAATTGGTCTAGTTCTGCAGGCCACACTGGATTAGAAAACTAGTTAATCTTAAAGTTCCTTCCTACCATTTTCTTCTATGACAAAACATTTGGCAAGTGATTATTTTATTCTTTAAAAATATACAGAAACCTCCTACCTCACAGTGGGTGGGTAGAGATGCTACTAGAACAGAGTATTTTATACATTGTTAGACAAGATTTCTGTATCAAATGTTTTTGTTGCAAGGGAAGGTTTTGGTGAGGGGATGGTAATTGATTATGTGACTATGATGTAAAAAGAAAACCAATAAAATATTTTTATTAATAAAAATACATGTATATAGGGATTCTCTTCACTCTAGTTCAACAGACATATTTAAGAACCTATGGGTAGCACATTGTGCAGGGATACTATGACAAAAATGAAACTTTCTCTAAAGGATTTATAGTGGAGGCTACATATATATACAAGTCAATACAAAGTTTATAATACCAAATTATTTTAGGAGGAAGAGCGTTCTAATAACTGGGAGGATCAGGAAAAGGCTGGTGAAGAAGGTGGCCCTTGTTGTGTTTTAAAGAAAGCTAAGGATTCTGTAACATGAAGGTGAAGGAGTGCATTCTCCGCATGAGTAACAACGTTTACAAAAACATGGTCAAGTAAGGAAAATTGTAAACAGAGAAGAGCTAGCAAACTGAATGACTAGAATAGAAAGTTATTTAAAGGGGGAGTATTATGAAATAAGACCAGGAAGTTGGTAAAAGAGAAATTTGTGTTTTATCCTAAAGGAAAATGAAACCCCATTAAAGATTTTTGAATGGGAATGACATGTTCAAATCTGTTTCTGGCCTGTCGGTTTGGTAGCTACATGGAGAATGATTTGGAAAGAGCCAAAAACCAGAGGCAAGGAGATCATTTAGGGAACTATTTCAATTATCTAGATAAGAGTAATGAGGATTTGAACTAGGGTGATAACTGTTTAAATGGAGAGAAGAGTATAGATAGTTCTCACCTTACATAAATTCACATTACTCATTCAACTTTAACCAAAAAAATACTGAAAGAAAACCACATTCCCCCCCCCAAAAAAAACCCTGTTACCTTCACAGTACTGTGTTCTCTCTCTCTCAGCTCCTGCTCCTCAGTTCACCACCAAAGAAAAAACCCTCCAAGTGAAAGCAAAACAGATGTGCAAAGAGACCACTGCCCCCATCAGACTGGGGACTTGGCTTGAGACCTCCAGAGCAAAAAGAGCTCTTTGCCCCACTCCACCTACCTGCCCATGTGTCCAGTCTGTATCTGTCTGTCTTCTGCCCATCCATGTTTGGATACTGGGTATCTGTCCCCAGTCCCCACCTATCACTCATCCTCTCCTATCTGTCTGTGTGTTCTTCCTTTCATTTCTAGCCAGCCCCCCATATGACTGGCTCCAGCCCCCAACATGTTCCTTGTCCTGTTCTCATTTCTCTGTCCCTGGCCCCCCACATGTCCTTGAACTGTGTGCCTCTCATTCCCCACATCCCCAGGCAAATTCACATCAGTAAAGCAAGAACTGTCTGTAGATGGCAAGAGATGCTATGGAATAAAAATCAGCAGTTGACACTGTTTGGATATGAGATTTGAGGAAGGGAAAGAATCAAGGAAGACTCCAAGGTCTTTAAAGACTGGAGGGATGGTGGTGCCATCAATAGAAATGGGGAATATCACAAGGAATGATGTCCTTGGGGTTAAATATAATGAGATCTATTTTAAAGAAGTTGAACCCAATCTATTTGTGGGTCATCTAGTAGGAGTCTTATAAACAATTGTTATACAGTCCTAGAGTTCAGGATTGACTATTTAATATATAGATTTGGGAGTCATCTTCATAGAGATAGTAATTGAACCCACAGAAATTAGTGAGATCCCTAACAAGATTTAGAGAGAAGCAGGCCAAAGATAGAGCATTTGAGGGTTACTCACACTTAGTGGCTAAGTGGATGATGTTAATCCAGCAAAGGAGGCACAGTGTGTCTAGAAGAGACCCAAGATAAAGCAGTCTCATGGAAGCCATGGGAAGAAATGGTCATCAACAGGGTCAATAACTATAAAAGGAGATCAAATAGTTGAGGATTGAGGAAAGACCATCAAATTTTTAGGAGTGAAATAAGATTAAGCATTAGTAACCTTCAGTCAAGTAATAGAATTGGAATCTAGATTCAGTGGATTAAGAAGTGAATGGGAGGTGAGGAAATGGTGGTATTGTAGAACTTATAGTCAAGATCTTTCTCCTTTTTAAATCTAATTTGTATTCATTTTCAATCTTCATCTAATTTATTGTTTGATAATTTAAAAAATTAAAACTATTTAGCATTTTTCATATTGCAATCTTAATATATTTGATGCTAGTCATTTAGTATATCCTTTAGTTTGATCTAAAAAATGACTCAGAAGAGGAAAGAATTTTCTAAATCCTTGATGAAATAAAAATTCTGATTCTAAGAATAATAAAACATAAAAATGTTTACCACAAAAGGTCATGGAATATTGCTCATTCTTTTAGAGAAGGAACTGTGTTTTATTTATTTTTCTGTATATACCTAACACATCTCTTCATATAGTGAACACTTAACAAATGGTCATTGAATTAAATTTAATTGGATCAACAAAATTAGATTGGTTGGTCTCAAGAATTCTTTCTGGTTCCAGGGTATATGTAGTGACTTATACAAGTAGAGGTACATTCATTAAAGGTGCCATCTTGAAGAAAACCATTCAAGATAAGAGTTTAGGGATTTTGATAATGAATTTAGTGGTTTCTTAAAAAAAAAAAATCCCTCTCCATTCCAATATAATATAACCTTTAGTCTGTTATGTTGAGAAAACTTACTTTTATTAAACTATGGAGTTATGAAAATATGAATATTGCTATAGTTTTGAAGTTTGCATTGTTGGTCATCATGAATCTTAATGATCAATAACAATGCAGGGTGTTACATGAACTGTGCTTTGGAATATCTGTATTTTTGTGCTTTGATGTATCTTTTCTTCCATTTCCTTTGAACCTTTTAAATTAATTCACTCACTTTTCTTCCCTCTGTTTGCAGGTCTCCGAATAAATGGGGAGTTGATCACTGCCTATCCCCAGGTGGTGGTAGTAAGGGTACCAACACCTTGGGTGCAGAGTGATAGTGATATCACTGTGTTACGTCACCTAGAGAAGATGGGATGCCGGCTGATGAACCGGCCTCAAGCTATCCTGAATTGTGTCAATAAGTTCTGGACCTTCCAAGAGCTAGCTGGCCACGGTGTTCCTCTTCCAGATACCTTCTCTTATGGTGAGGCCATCACTAGGAAAACATAGCATGAGTCTAGAACCAGTGACAGTTTTCAAAGGAATGAACAAATGCTTAAGGAAAATCCAGTAATGGGGAGGACTAAGAGATACAACTTAAAGATTTTGACTTTTTAACAGTTTGAGTAGGGTAGTTAGGGAATCTTGGCTTCTCGTGTAACTCCATAGTATAAGACAGGAAATAATGGAATTTCATTACCATTCAATTTAACAAAACTTTTATTAAAAGTACCCATCAAATTCAAGGCACTATACTACGATCTGGGAATAGAAAGACAAAAAGGCACTTTTCAAGGAACTTATATTCTGCTGGAGGATAAAAATATTTTTTGTTTATTGTTCAGTTATTTCAGTTGTGTCTGACTCTCCTTGACCCTATTTGGGGTTTTCTTGGCAAAGATACTGGAGTGGTTTGCTATTTTCTTTTCCAGATCATTTTAGAGTTGAATAAAGTGGAGCAAACAGGGTTAAGTGACTTGCCTAGGGTCACACAGTGTCTGAAGCCAGAACTGGACTCATAAAGATGAGTCTTCCTGATTCTAAGCCCAGAGTTCTGTCTACTGTGCCACCTAACTGCCTTCAAAAGTGTTGAGGTATTAAACTAGGGTGGTATTCCTGTGAACAAAGAGAAGTGAATGGATTTGAGTTATTGAAAGTAGACTTAACAAAACTTGGCACCTGATTGGATAAGGAGAATAAGAGATGGGGAATAATTGAGAATGGCTGAGGTTATGCATGTTGGTGACTGGAAGGTTGATTTTTGCCCTCAACAAAAATAAGGGAATTGGGAAAGTCAGAGAGAAGATGATGAATTTTATGTGACATCATCCACTGAGAGTTGGTGCTTCAGGATTATAGATATCAGAATAGAGATTAAGGATGGCTAGATTGGGAGACATCTGCACAGAGAATGATGCAGACCTCATGCAAGGGTGTAATATTTCCTATTTATGTTAGTGCTTTATAAGCCCAAATTAAACATACCCATTCCTTTCCCATTCAGAGTTTCAGTAATAGCAGGAAGATACCTTTAAACATTGGTACACCTCAGTTAAGGCACTGTAATCTTTGAAAGACAGTGCAACAGAAATACTTGGGCTTTAGTTTAGGCAGATGACTTGTTCCTTCCTCTGATTATCTTCATTCTGTTAAGATTATGAAGCCAAAAGAAGCTCACAGGTAGTGCTGCATGTAGATTTACCATTGAGCAGCTATTAGTAGAATATAATTGTGCAGAAATCTGCCCCTTTTGCATACCTGTAGTGCAAGAAAAAAACGACTTGCATTTAGTTTTTTTTTTTATTAATTTTATTTTTTTCAAATTTCAAATTCTCTCCTTCTCTGTCTTCCCTTCCCTCTTCCTGAAACAGTAAGCAATTTGGTAAAGGATATATATATATATATGTACACACACACCAAAAAAGACCAAAAAATTGATTACCTTCTACCATAAGCTGACATCTACCACACTCCATATTCCCCATTTCTGTTTACATCCTCCTAGGAACTCAGGTTCATAACCTTGTCATCCTTGACAGTTTCCTCTTCCTCATTCTCCACATGCTAAGTCCATTGGTTCTACATCTAACATAGCTCTTGAATCTGTCTCCTTTTCTTCATTCACATAGCCGCTACCCTAGTTTAGTCCTTAATCTATTTCACTTAGTGTAACTAGTCTCCCTGATACCACTCTTCACCCTCTCCCCTCTTACATATCCTCCACAAAGTTATGTTTCTTCCAAAAACATTGGTACAAGTATATAACCTCTACCTATAAAGTCCCTCCATAGTCTTTCTAAAATAAAATATAAACCTGTTAGTAAAGACCCTACACAATCTGGCTCCAACCAGCCTTTCTAGCCTTATTTCAAACTACTATTCTTCATAGGGTCTAGGTTTTAGCTAAAAATTAAATGGTTTCCCAATTGGATACCACAGAAGACAAAAAAGACAAAAAAAATAAAGTGAAAAATATTATGCTTTGATCTGCATTCAGACTCCATTAGTTCTTTCCCTGGATGTGGATAGTACTTTCTGTCATAAGTCTTTTGGAATTGTCTTGGATCATTGTATTGTTGAGAAAAGCTAAGTCATTCATAGTTCATCATAGCACAATGTTGCTGTTGCTATGTACAATGTTCTCCTGGTTCTGTTCACTTCACTCACCGCCTGTTCATTTCTTAGGGAACGATAGTATTCCATTACATTCATATACCATGACTTGTTCAGCCATTCCCCAATTGATGGGCATCCCCCCACATGCCGAATTGTTGCAGCTACATAATTTAATACTTCTACTTTTAAAAAAATTAAGTGGGATACTTCCTCTTTAATTCTGGATACAGACATCTTATCAAGATAAGCAGGATGGGTCGCAATATCCTGGTTCATTTGCAAACTTTTCTTGGCTTCAGCCTTCCAGCAAGATTTGTACTGATCTCTACAGGTGCAGTTTGGTTTGGGTCTAATCTCACTACTGTTGGCTCTGGTCTGTAAGATAGTGTGGTCTCCATATAGTAAGAAATACACTATTTTTAATATTTAGGGTAGAGAAAGTAAACGAGAACATTTATTAATAAAAAGGAAAAGGAATGATTTTTTTGAATAGGCATGTTACTACTTAGAATCTTAGTTTCTTCTAAAACCCAAATTAGTTCTCATTATTACTTCCTTTACTTATTCTCCTAATCTGAGGGAAGTGGCAAAGTTAGATAGACTTCTTCAGGGTTTGTGATATGTTTGGTGACCAAGAAAATAGGGGGTTAAAAAGTGAAAGAATTGCTAGCATCTTCATTCTCCCATAGAAAGGTTAGTACCCTTTTATTAAAGGAAAGGGTTCTATTTCCTACGCAAAGCACTTCACTTCTGCTTGCCTCAGTTTCCTCATCTGTAAAATAGGAATAATAATAGCACCTACCGCCCATGGTTGTGAGGATCAAATGAGATAATAATTGCTATGTGAATGTTAATTGTTATCGTTGTTGTTGTTGTAGTTAAAATACTGGAGGTACTAAGACAAAAAGGAATCAGTACCTGACCTCAATGAGCTTATATTTCTTATGATGTTTATGGTTAAGAAGATTAAAAATTATTTCAGGAGAACTAGCCATAGGTAAAGATCAGGGCTTTTAAGAAGGATAAAGGCTCTCCAATGTAAAGGTGAAAAAGAAATGCATCTACAACAAGTTCTTAGATTTAGAGCCATGAGATCTTAGTCATCAGGTAAATATCTTGCCCAAGGTCATACAAGCAATAAATTATAGCTAGGATTTGAAATCAAGTCCTCTGACTCAAACTCCCTTCTGTTGTACCACATTACTACCTAAATGATGGTTTGTGCAAATGCATAGAAGTAGATTTTGGCATATCCAATTGGGAAACCATTTAATTTTTAGCTAAAACCTAGACCCTATGAAGAATAGTAGTTTGAAATAAGGCTAGAAAGGCTGGTTGGAGCCAGATTGTGTAGGGTCTTTACTAACAGGTTTATATTTTATTTTAGAAAGACTATGGAGGGACTTTATAGGTAGAGGTTATATACTTGTACCAATGTTTTTGGAAGAAACATAACTTTGTGGAGGATATGTAAGAGGGGAGAGGGTGAAGAGTGGTATCAGGGAGACTAGTTACACTAAGTGAAATAGATTAAGGACTAAACTAGGGTAGTGGCTATGTGAATGAAGAAAAGGAGACAGATTCAAGAGCTATGTTAGATGTAGAACCAATGGACTTAGCATGTGGAGAATGAGGAAGAGGAAACTGTCAAGGATGACAAGGTTATGAACCTGAGTTCCTAGGAGGATGTAAACAGAAATGGGGAATATGGAGTGTGGTAGATGTCAGCTTATGGTAGAAGGTAATCAATTTTGTTTCAATCTTTCTGAGGTTAAGTTGCTGTAAGTAAAAATAGGTGATTGATAATCTGGCAGATGTGGAAAGAGATTGAGCAAAGTGAACAGATGAGATCACCAAGGGTAAGAATTTGGGCTTAGGACAGAACTCCAAAGTGTACACCATTGGTTTTAGGAGCAGGTAAATCAACAAACATTTATTAAGAACATACTTTGTGCCAGACACTGTGCTAGGCACCAGGGATATAGAGGCAGAAATGAAATAGTCTCTATACTCAAAGAGCATACATTCTGTTATTTAAATCACTCTTTGTAAAAGTAGTTGTAATTCACAATTGATTGGTGGCCAAAGAAGCAGAATTACACAGGATTGAGAAGTGAGTAGTAAGGAAGCTGAGGAGGCTATGAGTGTAGATGACTGTAAAAAGATGTTATGGTAAATGAGGGTGAATAGAGGGGCAATAGTAGAGCCAATGTAGGTGGTGTTGTTGTTTAAAGTGATAGGAAGAACAAGGCATGAATGTTTAGGTAGCAAGGAACCAAGTCTGGAGATCTGTCAATTTTCATTTGTAAAAGGAGGAGATTGAACTAAGTGATATTTAAACTTTCTTCTAGCTCTGACATTCTTTGGTTCTAGAGTGGAACTAACCTTTAGCATGACCTTCCTGTTCTATATCCAGACACTAGTAAGACACTCCCATTTGTCTTGTTATAGTAAGGGCCCATTTGAAATGAGATGTAACATGAATTTGAAATGGACACAGTTAAAACAATTGATAATCATTTCTTATGATGTTCAGCAGGAAAGAAGAATGATAATAGGGGGTAATTGTGACTTATAGATTGACAGAGCTGGATGGTAGCATGACGAGGGAGCAAAAAATTCATGGATAGAGTAAAGTATATCATTGAACTGTTAACTAAGGTCAAGACTGTGAAGAGAGGAAAGTGAGGCTAGAAAAAGAGAGTTGGTGATCTGGGAAAGAGGGAAGAAAGGAAATAGATTTAGGAAGAAATGAAAGAACAGGAGATTATGATAATTTCAGAGTTGAAAATCTTAGAAGTAGCACAGTTATGGATGATGATGAAATTTTAAAAGTAGGACTTGGTCCTATGGATACATGAGTTAGAGTAAAAATAGAAACTGTGAGGATTAAGAAGTTTGGTGAAATAGCCAAGCTCAAAGATAGGTAATGATTAATAGTTAAGGAATTTAAGATATCTCATGTATTCTAAAATATACAAGTAGTTTGGAACTAAAATTAATTTTTACTTCTCCAGAATTTGTTTTCTTCCTAAAAATTTATCCTATGCCTTTGATCATCAAAGTAGGCTTCCCCATTGACTTTTTTTTTAATAGTTTAGAAGAGAACAATCGTGAAACATTCTTTTTATGTTTTGTTTTCTTTTCTTTAAACAGGTGGTCATGAAAATTTTGCTAAAATGATTGATGAAGCAGAAGTATTGGAATTCCCTATGGTGGTGAAAAATACACGGGGTCATAGAGGTGTGTATAACTGAGACACAGACAGACACACAGTTCATACAGGGGAAATAATGAGGGAGAGTTTATGGAATGGGCTTTTTTTTCTTGATCAGATAGAAGCAGTTATATTTTCTTTTTCTGTCTAAATGTTCCCAGATAATGACTAGATCATAGTAGTAAGAAATAATCTTTGAATCAAGTCAAGAAGGGAACAGTTTCTGAAACAGGAATTCTGAAAGACACAATATAAGGGAATTGGAAAGTCCATTAGATAGCATAGCTAATATTTATAAAGTATAGTTGATAATTAATACAAATTATCATGAAACTACTTTTAAACAGGAGTATTATTAAGCCTTTACCATGTGTCAGACACTGTGCTAAAACACTGAGGATATAAATATAAATAAGTAAGACAAGCCCTACCTTAAAGCTGCTTATACTTTCTAAAAGGGAAAACAACACATAAACGGGACCTGGAAACTGGGGTGGGTTGGAAATAAGCAAGGTGCTGTGGTGTGGAGAATCCCATATCCAGGCAGTTGCCAAGATACTGCTTCTTTCAAAATCATTCCCTCTTTTATTTCCAGTGCTGTTACCCTAATTCAGACCCACATTGCCTTTCCTGGAATATTCTGGTAGCCTTCTGACTGATCTACCTGCTTCTACTCTACCTTTCCCTGCTTCTGTCTCTCTTATACAGGAGTAGTCTTTCCCATTGCACAGCTCTGAAGACAGGTCTCATTTCTCAGAAACTTTCAGTGACAGTAAATGCCAGACTGCTTAGTCTAGAGCTCCACAGTCTGGTTCCATGTTCTCTCATTTGATCCTCACGACAACCCTGGGAGGTGGTGCTATTATTATCCTCTCTTTACAATGAAGGAAACTGAGGCAACTGATGTTAAATGACTTGCCCAAGTTATACAGCTAGTAAGTGTCAGAGATGGGATTTGAACCCAGGTCTTCCTAACTCTGGGCCAAGTACTTTATCCACTGATCCACCTGGCTGCTTCTGGCTGTCATATCATATCTTTACTAGACTACAAGCTCTTTTTATTCCCAAATCTAGCATACTGCCTGTGTGACATAGTGGACCCTTGATAAAGTTCATTAGAATTGAGTAATATTTAAATTTACCTTTAAAAAATTTAGCTGATAACCCATGCATACTCCTCCTAAAGTTAATTAGTTCTGGGAAAATATAATGTTAAGAAAAAATAGTGTTAATAGGCAGTTAGGGTCTCAAGAGTTTCACTTGTGCTATAAGTAATACATGTAGTGTTTAGCGGATGGAAGTTCAGGTATGTCTCTGGAGCTACCACACTAATTTAAATCACCTCAGACAATCCAATTTTGATCTTGGATAACTGACTGAATGTTGTAGTGAAGCTTGCTCGCACTTGATAAGGTGCTTGCAAAATATTGATCAGAGCATTTTATAGGATATGCCTATAACAAATAAAAATTAAAAGCATAGCCATTTCTTTTTGTTTTCACCTGTTAAGTCATTCGATAAAAGAAATTGTTAAGAACAGGCTTGTTTTGTCATAGAAAGTCTATTTTGTTCGCAGATGCCAAAATAATCTTAAGTGTGACCATATTTATCTCTCAGCTCAGGAACTTTCAGTGGTACCCTATTTCCTTTAAGATAAAATTTAAACTCTTAAGCTTGGCATCTAAAATCCTTCACAGTCTGGCCCCTTCCAGGCTTATTTCATATTCTTGCCTTTTACATAGTTATTGATGTCATAGTCCATTGGTTCCCAGTTTGGGAGGGGGAATGTTCCAATGTCCCAGTGTTCCCTTTTAACAAAAATAAAAAATGTTGTGAACCCCCAGTGTAATTTATAGTGATGTTCATAATATTTTTTAGATACAATAACTACAGTTAAAACTTTTGCCCTGGCCCCCAAATGTTCCAAATTTAAATTTATATTACATAATTTTCTAATTTTAAATTCTATCCTGTTCATAATTATAAAAACTCAACAAAAAATTTTAAACTTTTATCATAATTATGGATTTTATTGCAACATTGTAAAAGAATTAAAAGAAATAATCCAGCAAGACCTTATATGCTTATATCATCTGCAGAACTTTATATATTTTTTGTTCTACAAATTTTATCAAATATAACTAACATTCTAATGAATTAAGTTATATCTTGGAAAACACTTAACATAATATAATAATTGTATAGTAATTTAATTCTGGCATTAGAATTATTTGAATAAAGGTTTGCAATGTTTGGCTCAGTACCTAATAAACATAGTCTTAAATATGGTCCCACATCAAGTTTATTTCTATATTTGATTTAAAACAAGAATAAAATGAAAATGCTTGCTCACACAAATTTGTGGTGGAATATGATAGGAGTCTTTTGCAAACTCTCTTGAAAATGAGGGTATGTGCATGCCAGTCAATTTGTACAGTTCAAAACAATTTGACAGATTGAGAAACTACAAGAGCTTGTCATTAGTCAGAAGCAGTCAGAGTTTGGTCTGATCAAACTAAAACACAAAATCATTGTGCTCATGCTCATGATCATGGCATTTTCAAATCACTATAGAAATAAACCTGGAATGCTTCAAAAATGTACATGCTTTGCTGTTCCAAAGAAAAATATATTTGTAACATAACAGTGGAAATTATTAAGTGCTCAAAGGTGCAATTGAAGAATTTTTAGCGTGAATTCCTTGGGCCATTGTTACAAATCCCCAAAGGATTCATGAGCCGCTAGATAATAATCATTGTTCCAGTCAGATTAGTTATAATAGCCAGAATTTTACATTCCATCTCCTGCCTTTGGCTCTTTGTATGAGTTGTCCCCCATATCTGGAATCACCTCCTTTCTTCCTTCTCTTAGAATCTGTAGTACTCTTCAAAACTTGGTTTACGTGCCATCATCCATGGTGAGAGTTTCTAAAAGCTTTGCTTTCAGTAAACATTGCCGTACTTCCTATTCAACATGAAAGTGACTAAATTTTAATTTTTATCATGCATGTGTATGTAAGAAATAAAATAGATTCATAAAGAAAATTCTGTTTAGTAAATTCTAAAATTTACTAAAAATACTAAAATTCTGTTTAGTAAATGACTGCTCCCAAATCCTCAATATAAAGAGGCCTCAGAAGCCCAGCCAATTTTTCATATCTTGCCAGCTGCATTGCTTTGGTTTGTATTCCCTGTTATCCTGGCTCCACCCCACACCCCAGCTCCCACTTTCGGTTCCTCTTCTGTGCTGTCTTCCCGTTAGATTGTATCTCCTTGAGGGCAGGGACTGTCTTTCTTATTTGTATCCACAGTACTTAGCACTGTACCAGGCACAGAGTAGGTGCTTAATTTGTTATAGTATATAATTTGTTACAGTATATAACATTTTCTCACATCATGAAGTTGTTAAATGTTTGTCAGAATACAAGCAAATTGATGAGGCCCTTAATTCCGTTTGTTGTCAACCAACAAGTTTTATTCTTGGTATAGTTTTAGAAAGAGATACCTGCATTATATGTTCAGCTTCCATTTTGTTTCTTCCTGTGGATTTGTTTGAGAACAGGACAGAAAATCCTGATTTTACAAAGATAAGTTATTATAACTAGAATTTTCACAAAAATAAGTTGTTATAAATGGAATTAAGGCACATTTAGTAAGAATGGGATATGTTTTTTCAATAGTACACCAAAGATTTTATAACTTCACTGACTGAAAATCAATTCAAAGTTTCTGGTTTTTACAGTTATGATTAGTTCATCCTTCACTGAGTCTTTGTCACCTTTTTTTTCCTAGCTAGGTATGGAAAGGATTTTATATCCAAAGCGCATTTATTTGGTTTCAGTTAGAGAGTTATTCCTTCTATTGCCTCTTCCAAAATGTTTAGATATATTATAACACTCACATTTTTTTCCCACTCTACCTTGTTCTCTCTCCATTGCACAATTTTCTTTTTTCACAACTACTATAATATATGTTATTTATAATATATTACCCATACAAAGAAGCTTGCCCCCTTGACAAGCTTGGAAACCCCTAACCCAAAGGAAGCCTATTCTGATCCTTCTAGCTGTTAATGTTTCATCTCCTCCCTCCATTATTGAATATGTTATCTGTTTATTTCATGTAAACGCAACACTTTTTATCAGTATCCTCCATGCCTTACACATAGTAGGTACTTCAAAAATGCTCTTTGGGTTGGATTGTACTGGTTTTCATACTGCTTTTTCATTTTCCTTTAAAAATGCTTTGAAGTTACCTTTTGAATGTCAGAATTTAAGTGGTGAAAATATTAAGCCAAAAGAATTGGAATTTGATTCTCACGAAGAGAAGAGCCATTGTCTTTACTGTTCATGGACTCTAATATTTTTTTTTAAATCTTTATTTTTTCCAATTACATGTCCACAATTTTTCACTTGTTTATTTTACAGTTTTAAGTTCCAAATTCTCTTTTTCTTTCTTTCTTTTTTTTTTTGTGTGAAGCAATTGGGGTTAAGTGACTTGCCCCAAGTCACACAGCTGGTAAGTGTTATGTGTCTGAGGCCAGATTTGAACTCAGGTCCTCCTAACTCCAGGTCCGGTGCTCTATCCACCATGCCAACTAGCTGCCCCCTCATGGACTCTAATATAAATCCATTGTATGTGTTTTGGTTAGGTTAAGTAAAGTCTGTCTTAGAGTTGATATGCCTTGTCAGCCCAACTGTTTTTCATGGAAACTGAGGCACCTTTTACATTTTATGGTGCCACAAGCTAAATGGATTAAATGACATTTCCTAAGTTAACTTAGAAATCTCACCATTTATTTACATTGCTTCTGTGGGAAATTGTGTTCGTAGTTCCAAATGGCCATTTTATAAATGAACTTTTGGAGCACAACATTTTTGTAAGTTAGGAACTGGCAATATGGAATTAGAGCAAGGGAAATAGCTATAGAGACAAACCTGCCAAAGGTAATCAGGTATTGTTGTCAGCTGGACTATATATCCTTTTCTTTAAAGGCCAAGTTTCTCTCCCAGTTTTCCCCTTTTCATTGCTAAAAGCTATCTTAACAGTTATTTTGATTATATTATTGAAGGAATCAAAATGTCCCTTTCTGAAAGATCATGTTATTCCTGATTGTTTTTAGTAAAGAAGGCTCTGCCTCTGCCTACCAGAGATACCAAAGAATGTGAAATTAAGGTTGTTGTGACAGAAATGCATTCAGATGGCTTTGGAGCAATAGTGGAGGAGGAAAGGGTAGGATCCCAAAATAGAAGCCTAGTATGGGAAGAGTCTCAGTCTCTTTTTAGAAGAAGTTAGGTTTCAAAGAAAAGAAGGCAAATTCTGCAAGATCATCTGGAATCCTTAGATGATTTTTTAAAACTAAAACTTTGATTATAGTAAATAACATCTACCCCCAAAAGGAATGTTGTGGAGGTCAAATGATATGATACATATCAAGTGTTTTGTTTATTATCACCACTATTCTCAAGAAACATTTTAATATAGTTAAAGTGAAATGGAAATGTGTCCTTCAATCCTTTCTTGTTCCCATTTTCCTGCAGAGTATTACTTTAAGACTTCACTGAATGATCATGATAATTCATTATGAAAAACTAAAATATTATTGATTTTAAGTATCATGGTATTTTAAACCTTAGGTGTTGGGGAAAAGGGTGCCAAAAAAGAGACATAAGATAATTATAAATTGTCCATAATACCATTACTTTTAGCATCCTTTTTTTTCCTTCTTAAGGTAAAGCTGTTTTCCTGGCTCGAGATAAGCACCACTTGGCTGACCTAAGCCATCTTATTCGCCATGAAGCTCCATACCTATTCCAGAAGTATATAAAGGAATCTCATGGCCGGGATGTGCGTGTCATTGTGGTGGGAGGCCGTGTAGTTGGCACTATGCTGCGCTGTTCAACTGATGGAAGGATGCAAAGCAACTGCTCACTAGGTATAAACAGTACATTGACACATTACAGAAACGTATAGTGTAGCTGTTCCAATGGGCACTTATTGAAAGCAATTTTTTTTATTTTGTAAGTTACAAGTAATAATATTGTACACCTGTATAGAGCAACATAATGTAATAGAAGGAGTACAGGATATGGATTCAGAGGACCTGGGTTCAGTTCCTGACAATAGCTACGTGACCTCGGACAAGTCACTCAAACCCATTGAGTCTCAGTTTCTTCATTTGTAAGTAAGGGGATTTGTAAGGGGACTTTATGATCCTTGCTACAGATTCTAAGATCTAGAATCCTAAATATGATGATAGTACTATAAGCCTGCTATTAAATAGGGTGTATCTTTTGAGTTATTTTTGGAGCAGTGGAAATGTTCATTGAACTATCAGTTTTCCATTTCTAATTTGTAAACAATATCATAAATATTTGAACTGGATCTTTCCTTCAGTCAGGAACCTGGTGCAAATATTACAATGGAGCTGACAAGGATGTTTTCGGTCTCCCTTCCTCAGTCCCAAACTTCTACACCTCTGCAGGGCCCCCCAGACCCTCTATTGTCTTGTGGTTTGGTAGGAAGGAGGAAAGATTAAGGGGAGGCAGAGGTAGCTCCTCCATTGGAAGCTCTGCAGTTATAACCTTGGCCAGTAGCATTTAGGGGAAAGACATTTTTTCACTCTTATTTTTATGCTGTATACATAATGAGTTCATTGCTTACATAAGAATATAGGATTTATAACTCAAAGAGATCCTAGAGATCATATAATCAAAACCCTTCATTTTTTACAAATCGGGAAATTGGGATCCAGAGGAATACCATGATGTATCCGAGTTAACACAGGCAGTGAAATGCTGAATTGGGATTTGGACCCAGTTCCTCACATTCCAAATTCAGAGTTCTTTCTACAATACAGGTCTGCTAATGTGTATGTAAATTATTCTCAAATAGACAGCATTCATTTTTAATGTCAATAGTGTATATTCAACCGCAAAAAAACATACAGTATTAAAATTGGGTTGTGACTAAAAATTAATTAAAAATTAATAATCTAATCCTAAAGAATGAGTGGGTGAAACAGCAAATCATAGAAACAATCAGTAACTTCATCCAAGAGAATGACAATAATGAGACAACATACCAAAACTTATGGGATGCAGCCAAACCAGTTCTTAGGAGAAATTTTATATCTCTAAATGTTTACATGAATACAATAGAGAAAAAAGAGATCAATGAATTAGGTATGCAACAAAAAAAGCTAGAAAATGAACAAATTAAAAATCTCCAATTAAATACCAAACTAGAAATTCTAAAAATCAAAGGAGAGATTAAGAAAATGGAATTAAGAAAAGTATTGAACTAATAAATAAAACTAAGAGCTGGTTTTATGAAAAAAACCAATAAAAAGATAAACTTTTGGTTAATTTGATTAAAGAAAGGAAAGGAAAAAAACAAATTACCAGTATCAAAAACAAAAAGGGTGAATTTACCACCAATGAAGAGGAAATTAAAACAATAATTAGGAGCTATTTTGCCCAATTGTATGCCAATAAGTCTAACAGTCTAAGTGAAATGGATAAATATTTACAAAAATATAAATTGCCCAGATTAACAGAAGAAGAAATAAAATACTTAAATAATCCCATTTTAGGAAAAGAAACTGAACAAGCCATCAGTGAGCTCCCTAAGAAAAAAATCTCCAGGGCCAGATTGACAAGTGAATTCTATCAAACATTGAAAGAACAATTAATTACAATATTATATAAACTATTTGGAAAAATAGGCAAAGGCGGAGTACTACCAAATTCTTTTAATGTACAAATACAGTGCTGATACCTAAACTGGGAAGAGCCAAAACAGAAAAAATATTAGAGGTTAATTTCCCTAATGAATATAGATGCAAAAATTTTAAATATTAGCCAAGAGATTACAGCAACTTATCTCGAGGTTAATACACTATAACCAGGTGGGATTTATACCAGGAGTGCAGGGCTGGTTCAATATTAGGAAAACTATCAACATAATTAACCATATCAATAACAAAATTAACAGAAATCATATGATTATCTCAATCAATGCAGAAAAAGCTTTTGACAAGATACAACACCTATTCCTATTAAAAACACTGGAGAGCATAGGAATCAATGGAGTTTTCCTTAAAATGACAAGTAGCATCTATCTAAAACCATCAGCAAACATTATATATACTGGGTTAGAAGCATTTCCATTAAGATCAGGGGTGAAACAAAGATGTCCATTATCACCATTGTTATACAATATTGTACTAGAAATGAATGGAAGGAATCAGAATAGGCAATGAGGAAACAAAACTATCATTCTTTGCAGATGACATGATGGTATACTTAGAGAATCCTAGAGAATCAAGTAAAAAATTACTTGAAATAATTAACAACTTTAGCAACGTTGCAGGATATAAAATAAACCCACATAAATCATTGGCCTTTCTATATGTTACTAACAAAGCCCAGCAGCAAGAGATAGAAAGAGAAATTCCATTTAAAGTAACTGTAGACAATATAAAATATTTGGGATTCTACCTTCCAAGACAAACCCAGGAGCTATATGCACATAATTACAAAACACTTTTCACACAAATATAAGTAATTGGAAGAGTATCAGTTGCTCATGGGTAGACCTAGCTAATATAATAAAAATGACAATTCTACCTAAATTAATTTACTTTTTCAGTGCCATACCAATCAAACTACCAAAATTATTTTATAGAGCTAGAAAAAATAATAACAGATTCATCTGGAAGAACAAATAGTCCAGAATATCAAGAGAATTAATGAAAAGAAATGCAAGGGAAGGTGGCCTAGCCATACCAAATTTAAAACTGTATTATAAAGCAGCAATCATCAAAACTACTTCATACTGGCTAAGAAATAGAGTGGTGGATCAGTGAAATAGGTTAGGTACACAAGACACAATAGTCAATGACTATAGTAATCTACTGTTCAATAAACCCAAAGACTCCGGCTTGTGGGATGAGAACTCACTGTTTGACAGAAACTGCTGTAAAAACTGAAACAGTATGGCATAAACTAGACATAGACCAACATCTTACACTATATACCAAGATAAGGTCAAAATGGGTACAGAATTTAGACATAAAGGGTGAGACTATAAGCAAATTAGGAAAGCAAGAAATAGTTTACCTGTCAGATCTGTGGAGAAGGGAAGAATTTTTGACCAAACAAGATAGAGAAATTTATGAAATGCAAAATGGACAATTCTGATTACATTAAATTAAAATTTTTGCACAAACAAAGCCAGTGCAACCAAAATTAGAAGGGGAGCAGAAAACTGGTAAATAATTTTTACATCCAGAATCTCTGATAAAGGCCTCATTTCTAAAATATATAGAGAACTGAGTCAACTTTATAACAATACAAATCATTCCCCAATTGATAAATGGTCAAACGATATATACAGGCAGTTTTCAGATGAAAAAATTAAAGCTATGTATATCATATGAAAAAATGCTCTAAATCACTACTGATTAGACAAAGGCAAATCAAAATAACTCTGAGGTACCACATCACACCTATCAGATTAGCTAACATGACAAAACAGGAAAATGATAAATGTTGAAGATGTGGGAAAATTGAAACACTGATGCATTGTTGGTGGAGTTGTGAACTGATCCAACCATTCTGGAGAACAATTTGGAACTATGTCCAAAGTGCTATAAAACTATGCATACCCTTTGATCCAGCAATACTACTACTAGGTCTGTATCCCAAAGAGATCATAAAGAGAAAAGGATCCACATGTACAAAAATATTTATTGCTGCTCTTTTTGTGGTGACAAAGAATTGGAAATTGAGGCAGTGCCCATCAAGTGGGGAAGAACAAGTTGTACAATATGAATGTGAGCTGGCCGATTTCAGGAAAAACCTGGAAAGACTTGCATGAACTGATGCTGAGGGAAGTGAGCAGTATGAGAACACTGTACATAGTAACAGCAGCACTGTGTGGTGACCAACTTTGTTAGACATAGCTCTTCTGAGCAATGCAATGATCTAAGACAATTCAGACTCATGGAAAATACTATCCATGTCCAGAGAAAGAACAATGGAGTCTGAATGCAGATGGAAGCATACTATTTTATCTTTCGTTGTTTTTTTTTTTCTTTCTCATGGTTTTTCCTTCTTGTTCTGATTCTTCTTTCACAACATGACTAATGTGGAAATATGTTTGTGTCAAGTGTTTTTGTCTGAGGTCAGATTTGAACTCAGGTCCTCCTGACTTCAGGGCCTGTGCTCTATCCACTGTGCCACCTAGCTGCCCCAGAAATATGTTTAATATGATCATACATGTATAGCCTCAAAAAAAATTAGTTTGTGAGCTCCTTGAGGGTAGGGACTGTTTTTTGTCTCTTTTTGTATCCCTCCACTAATCATAATGCCTCGCATATAGTAGGTGCTTATTGACTGACTAGAGAATTCGTCTCAGAATCTGGAAGATCTGAATTCAAGTCTTGTCTGTGATACATACTTGCTGTGTGTGACTCTGGACAATCATTGAACTTCTTAGTACCCTCTGCGGTTCTCTAAAATTATAAGTTCCAAAGCAGTAACTGATCTGTGTTAGTAGGAATTTCCTCAAAGGGGAGGGATCCTCATCAATAAAATCACAACTCTGGCCATAAATTTAAATTATGCCTGGGTGATTTCTGGATGAAAACTATATTTGCTGAACACTGTATATGCATCCTAATCAAGGCTAAGTTAAGATTTGTTTGGAATAGGATCATAGGCTTTGGATTTGGAAGTAACCTTAGTGGTTATTTAGCTCACCCTTCTTATTTTACAGATGAGGAAACTGACTCTCAAGTCTGCAAATCTAGTACCTGGCTTTCTCTGGGGCTGTAGTCAAATATCACTATCTTTCTACTGCTATATATTTCCACTTAGATATTTCATAAACATTTCAAACTGAACATATACAAAATGGAAGCCATTATCTTTTTTAATTTAATTTTTTGAATTAGCAAAAATTTATTTTCTCTCCCTCATACCTTCCCCCAACCCATTAAAAAAGAAAAACAAAAACAATACCTTTGTAACAAATATGCATAGTCAAGCCAAATGAATTCTTACATTGGTGATGTCCAAAATATATATTCTACATTCTACACCCTGAGTCCATTACCTCTCTTTCTGGAGAGTGAGTAGTTTGCTTTATCTTCTGAAATGGTTGTTGATCATTATGCCACTCAGTTTTTAAATCTTTCAAAGTTGTTTGTCTTTACAATGTTGTGTTTAGTGTTCTCCTGATTCTGTTGCCTTTACTCTGTATCAGTTCACGAAAATCTTTCAGGTTTCTCTGAATTAGTCCTGTTTATTATTTCTTACAACACAGTAATATTCTATTACATTCATATATTGTAATTTGTTCAACCTTTCTCAGCTGAGAGTATTCCCTTAGTTTCCAGTTCTTTGTTACCACCCCTGTATAAATACAGTGTGTCCCAAAAGTCTTGGGTGAAGTTTTAGGCTCCATTAGCTGACACGTTATATTTTTGTATGTAGGAGCTTATCATCTCTTTCGTTAAACATGCCCAAAATTAGACATCCACGATAGCACCAAGAGACAGTAAGACAGCACTTAGAAAATGTCAATATTGTTTCCAACTGAGCTATCAAGTATGACTTTCTAAGTGGTAAAAGGAAGGGCTTAAATAGAATAAAACAGAATAGAATAGAATGTAGCCTTTTTGGACTTCACTCCTTAGCTCTAGAAGGCTGGGTTAGAGGATCGTTCATGAATAAATAGCTTGAATTTAGGATTCTGGTTTTATGTCTCTAAAAAGAAAGAAAAGGGACAGCTAGGTGGCACAGTGGATAGAGCACCAGCTCTGGAGTCTGGAGGACATGAGTTCAAATTCGGCTTCAAGCACTTGAGACAACACTAGCTGTGTGACCCTGGGCAAGTCACTTAAAAAAAAAAAGAATGGGAGTTAGGACCCATTTGGTTTAATTTGATTCAAGAGAGTCTAAGAAGACTAGTAATATCAAGAAAATGTAGAGCTTGATATGTTTTGTTCTGTTCATTTGAGAAAATTCAGTCATGTTTATATCTACCCATGTGGCTTTGTCTTTCTTAGGTGGTGTGGGAATGATGTGCTCACTGAGTGAACAAGGAAAACAGCTTGCCATCCAGGTGTCAAACATCTTGGGAATGGATGTGTGCGGCATTGACCTACTGATGAAAGATGACGGCTCATTCTGCGTCTGCGAGGCCAATGCAAATGTAGGTTTCATCGCCTTTGATAAGGCTTGTAATCTAGACGTAGCTGGTATGATAGCGGACTATGCCACCTCCCTCCTGCCCCCTGGCCGGCTCACACGGCGCATGTCCCTGCTCTCCGTGGTGTCCACGGCCAGCGAGACTAGTGAGCCAGAGCTGGGCCCCCCAGCCAGCACTGCTGTCGACAACATGAGCGCAAGCTCCAGCTCTGTCGACAGCGACCCTGAAACCACGGAGAGGGAGCTACTCACCAAGCTCCCAGGGGGGCTGTTCAACATGAACCAGCTGCTAGCCAATGAAATCAAACTCCTGGTGGAGTGACTCCACCTGTAAATAATTAACGAACAAAGCCCTTGTAAATCTTTCTCTCTCTCTTTTTTTTTCCTTTTTTTCCTTCCTTTTTTGAAACCAACTTGCAATGCTGTTTATGAGAGAAGCTCAGGGAGCTGGAGGGGAAACTGAGCCAGGTCAGATAAGAGAACAAAGAGAGAAAAGGAAAAACCTATGTTTTTCAGTCACTGCTATCCTCCATTTTTTAATACTGCAGAACCATTCAATGGAATTTTACCATCTCAATTAATAAGGCAGAAAAGTGGGTATAAGGTCTTCAGGCTCAAGTAGATAATTCCTTCACTATTGTTAACCTTTTAAAATAACCTTCAAAATGAATGTGCTTATATTATAAAGGGCCAGAGAAGAGGGGATGTAAGATTCTTGCACAACTCCTTATATCTTTTGTGTTTGGAAAGTCAACACTTTACTGCAGACCATAATTCCCCTCTTTTGAGATCATTTATTAGAAATGGGTCAGAGGGAACATCAAAAATTAAAGAAGCCTTTTAATATACAAAACTGAAATTTCTGCCATTTTAGTATCCAATTCTATGTCCATATGTCTTTACAAACCATCCAGAACAGTTTTAATATGGGTGCTTTATATTTTATGGTTGGATTTTGTTTTTCATAGTAGATGGGAGGGCAAGATAGATGTGATCTGTAAAAACGTTTTTTAATGACAGAAATGGCATGTTTTCATAATGGAAGATAGATGAACAGCGTTGCAATGTTTGGTGTACAAAGTAACATTTAATCGAATGTGGAAAAACTTACACTAGTTTAAAAATATGTGCATTGCCTTGTATTTGTTAGTGTTTTAGTCTTTTGGAAGCTATATACTATGTTAATGTTGCATTTTTTTTAATACATGCTCGTCCAATATTCCCTGCTCTATGCCTGCATCTTTAACAATGGCCAAAGTGAAGAAAACGCTACCTTTTGTTAACAAGACACTGAATTGAAGCCTGTGCATCTTTATTATTCTTTTTTCCTTTCCTTTTTTTCCTTTTGTTTTGTCTTTCAATGGTGGTTGGGTGCATTAAGGTGAGGATAGAGAAATAATTTATATTTGGGAAAATTAGAGCTGCTTTAAGCTCTTGAATCTATTTTGATGCCAGTGTTATTTACTTGCATCCACATTTTAGAGAGAGAGAGAGAGAGAGAGTGTGTGTGTGTGTGTGTGTGTGTGTGTGTTTGGGGGCGATGTGGCTGATGGGGTTTGTTTTCTTCTACGTTAAGCGATGTTAAGTGAGAAAAACAGATAAAGTCAATGGGATCTGAAGGGAAACATATAGCTTTTGACTTGAAGGTAACAGAACATGAGGTTTTTTAAGAACTAGACTTCATGAGGGGGTTGGGAGGGAGCAACCACTTGAAGCCACAATGAGAAATAGATAACTTCACAGGTCTGTGTGTGTATTTTATTTTGTGTCAGTTGATTTCTTTCCTTAGTTGTTGACCTTTCAGGGCCACATGCTTTTTGTCCACTCTCTTGGCCAGGCATTTTCCCCCTTCTACTCAATGGGGTTTGGAGGGAAGGATGGGAGGGAAGAAGAAAAATGAAGATAGCAGCATTGGGTCAGTTATAATTGGGTCTCATTATAACATCATCAGCTTTCCCTACTATTTTTTCTCCCTTGCCCACTAAATCTGTAAAGCCCTGAAACTGAAAGTGGTGTCAGTACACATAAACACACACATACACAAACAACAGCAACAGCAATAATGAACAAGGATAAAGGTATCCCAAAGAGGTGTTGGAGTAAATATGAGAGAGAAATGGAAATGCTGCCAACTTCCGCAGGATTCTTAAAAGAGCAAGTACCATCTCCCCTACAATCCTCTGCAGTTTTTCTTTGAGCCACTTCTTTGCTTCTCCAGTGCTGTTTACCTTCATGTGGACCTTAAACATAACCTCATGGATACTACTAGAGAGACTTCAAGGCAATAAAAAGAAAGATCGGTATTAACCTGTTGTAACAGAGGTTTGATCATGCTTATTTGTATAGGATTTTTTATTTCATTTTAAAAAGGAATGTAACAAAAATAGATTTTAAATAGAATTAAATAATATTAAAATTCAGTAGAAGGTTAACTGTTGATAAATATAATAGTAACTCTAATTGTGCCAGTGTCTGACTTCATAGTAGAAGGTGCTATATTTAGAAGAAATTTATCATGAAACTTAGGATATTCTAAATCACATTCAGATAATTTGGCTTATAGGCAGAGTACTCTGTGTATAACTTCATACACTTGTTAGCCATAAACAGAAAATGATCACATGTCAGATGGTACTCTGATTGAATTCTGTTACATTGATGGTTCCAGTACATTGTTTGGTGAAGAGAAGTAAAAAAATCAAGAAAGGAGAAAGCATGTGCTTAGTTGCATTTACCCCAAATCTTTTCATGTAAAGAACATCTCTGTATGACAGATACACCTGGAATGTGTCTATATGCGTGTGTGTGTTATGTATGTACACAGATGTGTACAAGTAAACACTTTTTCCCTTTGACAATAAAGGGAAAGAACCTTAGGATTTGGTGTTTGGAAAGGGAGGGAATAGGGGAAATTAATTTAATGTCATTTACACTTACATACTTACAGCAGGTCATCCACATGCAAAGTAAGAGGAGATATCTGAAGTCATTCCATCACTAGTTTATTTATACTTTGATAAACTATTTTTACGAAATCATACTGTTCTAAACTATAGATTTCACCAACCTTGTTATGATTTGGAAGTTCACATGTTAGAGTGAAAAGAGCAGTAAAAGCCTAGCTGTTTTCCTCTATACCTTCATTAAATAGAGGTAAGAGAAAAGTTAAGTCTTCTTGAAAGAGCCAAATGAGACTTTTACAAATATTTATGTTTAAGTTAAAACTAAGTTTACTTTTTGTATTTGTAATGCCTTTTGTATAAACCTCATTACTGTTTGGAGAGGTAGAAATGTATGTCATTATATGTGTAACTATAATCATGTCAGAGTTTGAATTGTTTGTACAGCTTTGTAGCTTGTCACACTTGTACATTTTTAATACTGTATTTTTTTTTAAATTTTCTGGATCGTTTCCTCATCTTGTACATGATGGAAGTTGGACTGTACACATGCACACATGCTATGGACGATTCCATTTTATTTTTTCCCCATTTTAAAAAAATTTTTTGATGCTCACAAGCTGCTTAGTCATTTCTGCTGGCTTTTCCTTCACCCAACTTTGAAATCTTTGTGTGCATGCTATCTGCTCAAGAAACAGCTTTGGAACATTTGAGTCTTTGGGGAAAAAAATCCGCAGAGACATGCTTTCATCAAGCACTCCATCAGACTTTGAGAAGGCATCGTGTGAAATCACTGACTTTCCAAATCAACTCCCCTACTCTTCCCAATGAAAAAAAAAAAGGAAAAAAAAAGGGTAAACAAAAAGTTGTTTTACTCACTTAAGAGTAAAACCCCAGTTTGGGGCTTTGGGAGGGCTTAGGGAGACTGTAAAATCAAATCTCGTGTTACATTATTTTTTTCCTGGCTCACTCTTTTTGAGAAGGTTTATGGGCTATGTGGCTGGTGAGACACGATCCCCTCCTCCCTAAGGAAATGTAGGTGCTCAGACAGGTAACCTCTGCTGCTACTGTTTTTTATTTTATTTAAAATTTGATTTCATTGTTCTAGGATTTTAAGAAGTAATATATTGCAGGATTTATAACCAGATTCACTCCTTTTTCTTTCTTTTAAAAAAATAAATGTTTTATTTAAAGTATGTTAAGCGTCTTTGAAGCTTGGATTTTGGAGTGTCTCAGTAGTAGACAAAAATCTGCTGTTGGAATCTCCTAGTCCTCTTCCAGATTTGACTTGAATTGCTTTTAATTTTGTTTTGGGCTTTTTTGTGTGGTATTTTATTTCTTTTACCAAAGTCCTGTTGGTATACTGTTTTGGGGAGGGTGCCTAACTTTAGTGTTAGACCTTCTTATATTAATGAAAACTTGGCTTTTTATTTCTTTAGTGTTTTATTTTTTGTTTTTTGTATTGTTTTTAAAGAAATATTCTAACTGTTTCCACTGTTACTGTTCTTTGCCAGCCTTTTCCGGAGCCAAAAAAAAAAAACCCAGAGAAAAAAATTTCCTCCTTCCCCCTTCCTGATGATGAGTGAGAAGTTTTGAGAACTTTCGGGGTCAATGCCTTTTTAAACTTCCCTTCCCCCAATAATGCAGCTCGTATAATGGTAAATGCAGCAGCCTGGATCCATGCAGAGCCCCAGCCTGCTGGCAGGTAATTTGACTCTTTCTGCTTGCTTCTGATCACCAGCCTATATTCTGACTTACCCTTTCCCATCCTCCCTCTCTTCTTCCCTTCCCCGTTTCATTTTAAGAAAAAATATTGGTTTATAGAGATTCTGACTGTGATTTAGGAGGAAAAAAAGAATGCATAAGCGTATCTATAAAATTTCTTATTTAATTTCCCCATTTGGGTAAACTTTAGAACTGGTTGGGATGAGTACATAACATTCTTGGGGGAGGCTGTTGAGAGGCATAGATATATGTGTCTGTATTTGGGTATTTTAGAATGTGGGGGGGATTTTTTGGCTTTGTTTTTGTTTTGGGTTTGTTTGTTTCTTCCATTGTGCTACTCTGGCTTAAGCTTTTACAGGGGTTGGTGTTCCAAGTACACAGTGAGCTCACAGTATAAAGACATCAATTAAGAGTTGACAGGTATGGAAAACTAGAGTTTTGAAAAGGTAAAATTAGGAATTAGGCTAAATGTTACACTTTTTACCATAGCATTTAGCTAGTCCTTGTAGCACTTTGATTTTCATGACATTATTATAAAGCTGAACAGGAATAATTGAGAAATAAAAAGATAATAGAAAGTAACTAGTTACAAAGTAATTTAAGTACTAATCTTTACTACTAAGAATTTCTCTGGCGCTCATGTTAACAAAGAAAAAATTGTAATTTCCTGTCTTCAAATGATCCTATAAAATTAAAGATAAAAAAGTCACAGGATTTGGGGGAGGTAGCTTGGGGAAGTGGGGGGGGTGGGATGGGACAGGAAATATAGTGGTTAAGAAGTTTGGCTTAGTTTATGCTTGCTGGTAAGAGGCAAAATCAAAAACAAAGTTCAGTTAGACTACTCTCTAGTTGACTGATTTACATTACCCCCTATTTTTCAATTTAAACTAAATTTGATGAGCCTTGTGTAACATAACTGCTTTTCAAGATTTTTTTTCCTACATGATTTTACTTTACCGCACAATCAGAGAGGCAGCGATTTTAGTAAGCATCAGTCAGGAAAAATGTCATTTAACCCTGCCTCTGCATATTATTGCATGTGTGCAAAGTCATTAATCTTGTGCTTCACTTTCCTCTTATAAAATAGAGGTCATTCCTACTAAGAATTGTGAGGCAATGATGTCTTTCCTAGTTCGTTGAAATTCTTAAGTGAAGGAATCCCATATTCAGAGTACTACACTCTTTGAAGTGTTATGAGATACCTTAAGAAGGGATGAGCCCAGAGGACCTTGGTCTATAGCTGACTGATGGTCAGTAGCTGATGATATGGAATAGATACCCTTAAGGGCCATAAAGAGATGATTTCAGAGACTTTCTACTCTGTGTCCCGTTTTTAATGACCCAGGAGTATTTGGTAGGTGTTGTGGTAGTTTAAGGCCTTGGATACATTATTTTCAAGTAGATTCCTCCATACTTTTATACAATTGGTACCGTTCATCTGGATATGTGACATTTAAAACTGTTGTGGCTACCATTGAGATTTGAGATGAGGGATGGGGGTGTGGGTGGTCAAAATGTTGTTTTAGATTTCAGTCAGAGAGACTTCCCTGTGCCCCACTTCCCAGAAGCACAACAGGCCTCTGAGAGCAGCCATGGGAATGGCGAAGCCCTGATGTCACCAACTCTTCTGCTCAGGCTCACCCAGCATACTGAGGTCAAAGGATGGGGGTTGAGA